TTGGAAATTGATTTGTTCCATTGCTTTGTCCGGAAACATACAGACAAACATGAGCGGAAGTGACCCAAAATGGGGGTCACAGTGGCCGGAAATGGATTATTACCCTGGCTTCACTCCCTCTCCCTTTACATCCTCTGAAATATGCCTGGTTTAACTAATTCGTCAACACCTGTTAGGACGGCCCGATGTGCGAGAAATAAGAAAAAAACGTTAATTTTAGTAAAATGACGATATTTTCACAATGGAGGGCAACTTTAGCATAGCAAAAGTCTGGGGACATTAATCATGGAGACTGACCAGATTGTTTTAGTATCTGGAATACCTACTGCTTTTTTGCGATTGTTTTGAAAAAGGAAATTGATGAATTTAGTGTAAAATTAGCTGAATGGCCCAATTTTGGATTACTATTAGGTTGGATTTATGATTAAAATAGCCTTTTCTTGTTATCGGTTTATAGCACTCGAGACTAGACTAAGTTATACCTGGAGTATACCTGGGAGGATTTCGGGGGACAACGCCCCTGCTGCCCAGTCTGTAATCAGGCCTCGTGGTGGATCAGGGCCTGATCAACCATGCAACCCGACGTACGAACCATAGCCCGGTTGATCAGGTACTGACTTGAGGTGCTTGTCTAATGCCTTCTTGAAGACAGTCAGGGGTCTGTTGGTAATCCCCCTTATGTATGCTGGGAGGCAGTTGAGCAGTCTTGGGTCCCAGACACTTATTGTGTTGTCTCTTAACGTGCAAGTGGCACCCCTGCTTTTCATTGGGGGGATGTTGCATCGTCTGTCAAGTGTTTTGCTCTCATAGGGAGTGATTTTCGTGTGCAAGTTTGGTAATAATCCTTCTAGGATTTTCCAAGTGTATATAATTATGTATCTCTCCCGCCTGTGTTCCAAGGAGTACAGATTGAGGAACTTCAAGCGTTCCCAGTAATCGAGGTGTTTTATCAGTTATGCGCGCCGTGAAGGTTCTCTGTACACTCTCTAGGTCAGCAATTTCACCTGCCTTGAAAGGTGCTGTTAGTGTGCAGCAATATTCCATCCCAGATAGAACAAGTAACCTGAAGAGTGTCATCATGGGCTTGGGATCCCTAGTTTTGAAGGTTCTCATTATCCATCCTGTCATTTTTCTAGCAGATGTGATTGATACAATGTCTTTGAAGGTGAGATCCTCCGACATGATCATTCCCAGGTCTTTTACATTAGTTTTTTGCTCTATTGTTCAAGAGCTCCAACACACTCACTTAACATCTCCCAAAATCTCTCTTTCCTCTACACTCTTTTCTCCAGGTGCATACACAATTACTGTGACCCACTTTTTGCATCCAACCCTTATTTAAATCACAAATTCCATGAATTTATACATTTATATTCCCTCTTCTCCTTCTGTAACTGATCCTTGAACATTATTGCTACACCTCCCTTAGATCTAACTCTCCCAGATACTCCTGACTTAATTCCATTTATTTGTCCCCACTGAAACTGGTAGGTAAGTTTGGGGTGCTAGGTATAAATGATAATGGAGACCTTTAACTGAACTTTGTATAAAAAGAGTTTTGGTTATAGGTAATACGTATTTTAAGAATAAAGGTTAAATGTACAAGATATGATATAGGGCATAATGACAGTAGTTTGTGACTATGTATTGGTAGGTAAAAGACTGTTGGGTAGACTTCAAGATGTGCATGTTTTAGAAGGGCCACAGATATATGATCACTTTTTGGTTGTAGCTACAGTGAGAGTAAAAGGCAGATGGGATACAAGGAGAATAGAAGCATCAGGGAAGAGAGAGGTGAACGTTTATAAACTAAAAGAGGAGGCAATTTGGGTAAGATGTAAACAACTACTGGAGGATAGATAGGCTAGTGGGAGTATAGGTATGGGTTAGGTTTAAGAATGTAACGTTAGAGTGTTTAGCAGAAGTTTGTGGTTACAGGAAAGCAGGTGTGGGAGGGAAGAAGACCGGCTGGTGGAATGATGAGGTAAAAAGAGTAGTAAGAGAGAAAAGGTTAGCATATGAGAGGTTTTTACAAAGTAGAAGTGATACAAGGAGGGAGAAGTATGTATAGAGAAAAAGAGAGGTTAAAAGAGTGGCAAAGGAATGTAAAAAGAGAGCAAGTGAGAGAGTGGGTGAGCTGTTATCAACAAATTTTGTTGAAGATAAGGAAAAGTTTTATAAAGAGAATAAATTGAGAATGAGAGTTGTTATATACACCTGGAAAATCCTAGAGGGACTAGTACCGAACTTGCACACGAAAATCACTCACTACGAAAGCAAAAGACTTGGCAGACGATGCAACATCCCCCCAATGAAAAGCAGGGGTGTCACTAGCACGCTAAGAGACCATACAATAAGTGTCAGGGGCCCGAGACTGTTCAACTGCCTCCCAGCATACATAAGGGGGATTACCAATAGACCCCTGGCAGTCTTCAAGCTGGCACTGGACAAGCACCTAAAGTCGGTTCCTGACCAGCCGGGCTGTGGCTCGTACGTTGGTTTGTGTGCAGCCAGGAGTAACAGCCTGGTTGATCAGGCTCTGATCCACCAGGAGGCCTGGTCACAGACCGGGCCATGGGGGCATTGACCCCCGGAACTCTCTCCAGGTAAACTCCAGGTTAGATGGAGAATTAGAGGATTGGGAAGAGGGAGGGAATATTTTGAGGTATTATTAAATGTTGATTAGGATAGGGAAGCTGTGATTTTGTGTATTGGGCAGGGAGGAATAACATCTTGTAGGAGTGAGGAAGAGCCAGTTATGAGGGGGAAGGAAATGCATGAGGTAGTGGGTAGAACGAAACAGGGTAAAGCAGCTGGGATTGATGGGATAAAGGCAAAAATGTTAAAAGCAGGAGGGGATGATTTAGTTTTGGAATGGTTAATTCTTTTATTTTATAAATGTATGGAAGAGGGTAAGATTCCTAGGGATTGGCAGAGAGCATACCTGGAGTTTACCTGGAGAGAGTTTCGGGGGTCAACGCCCCCGCGGCCCGGTCTGTGACCAGGCCTCCTGGTGGAAACAGCGCCTGATCAACCGGCTGTTGCTGCTGGCTGCACGCAAACCAACGTACGAGCCACAGCCCGGCTGATCAGGAACTGACTTTAGGTGCTTGTCCAGTGCCAGCTTGAAGACTGCCAGGGGTCTGTTGGTAATCCCCCTTATGTGTGCTGGGAGGCAGTTGAACAGTCTCGGGCCCCTGACACTTATTGTATGGTCTCTTAACGTGCTAGTGACACCCCTGCTTTTCATTGGGGGGATGGTGCATCGTCTGCCAAGTCTTTTGCTTTCGTAGTGAGTGATTTTCGTGTGCAGTTCGGTACTAGTCCCTCTAGGATTTTCCAGGTGTATATAATCATGTATCTCTCCCTCCTGCATTCCAGGGAATACAGGTTTAGAAACCTCAAGCGCTCCCAGTAATTGAGGTGTTTTATCTCCGTTATGAGCGCCGTGAAAGTTCTCTGTACATTTTCTAGGTCGGCAATTTCACCTGCCTTGAAAGGTGCTGTTAGAGTGCAGCAATATTCCAGCCTAGATAGAACAAGTGACCTGAAGAGTGTCATCATGGGCTTGGCCTCCCTAGTTTTGAAGGTTCTCATTATCCATCCTGTCATTTTTCTAGCAGATGCGATTGATACAATGTTATGGTCCTTGAAGGTGAGATCCTCCGACATAATCACTCCCAGGTCTTTGACGTTGGTGTTTCGCTCTATTTCGTGGCCAGAATTTGTTTTGTACTCTGATGAAGATTTAATTTCCTCATGTTTACCATATCTGAGTAATTGAAATTTCTCATCGTTGAACTTCATATTGTTTTCTGCAGCCCACTGAAAGATTTGGTTGATGTCCGCCTGGAGCCTTGCAGTGTCTGCAATGGAAGACACTGTCATGCAGATTCGGGTGTCATCTGCAAAGGAAGACACGGTGCTGTGGCTGACATCCTTGTCTATGTCGGATATGAGGATGAGGAACAAGATGGGAGCTAGTACTGTGCCTTGTGGAACAGAGCATGCATAGTTCCTTTGTATAAAGGCAAAGGGGACAAAGGAGAGTGTAAAAATTATTGAGGAATAAGCCTGTTGAGTATACCTGGTGAAGTGTATGGTAGAGTTATTATTGAAAGAATTAAGAGTAAGATGGAGAGCAGGATCACAGAGCAACAAGGTGGCTTTAGGAAGGGTAGGGGGTGTGTTGACCAAGTGTTTAAACTGAAACATATAGGTGAACAGTATTTAGATAAGGGTAAAGAAGTTTTTATGGCATTTATAGATTTGGAAAAGGCGTATGACAGGGTGGATGCGGGGGGGGGGAGGGCAATATGGCAGATGTTGCAAATGTGTGGAATAGGAGGCAGGTTACTGAAAACAGTAAAGAGCTTTTATGAGGATAGTGAGACTCAGTTTAGAGTATGTAGGAGACAGGGAGATTATTTCCTAGTAAAAGTAGACCTTAGACAAGGATGTGTGATGTCACTATGGTTGTTCAATATATTTATAGATGGGGTTGAAAGAAAAGTGAATGCTTGGGTGTTGGCACTAAATTATATTCAAACACATCTGCCTGAAATGCCTAGCCATGCTAGGTGTTCTAGTGGTACACTCTGTAATTATTATTTTACTATATGTAAACCACACGATAACCAAATTCTGTAAACTCAGCATTGTAATCCTTATAGAGAATAAACTTTGAACTCTGCTACTGTGTACATAATGTCCACTGAGGGTGAAAGTTTGAAGCTTTTGAACAATTTTACTCAAGTTTTAAATTTGTACCTAGTCTAACCTTATGGGGTATCACCCTTCTTACACAATACATCATCATTAATATTTTGAAGCTGATGAGGAGAAGCATTCTTAGTTATTTAATATATATGAGTACGTATCACTGTTCTGGTTCAAACAGTAGTTATGATCATTGTAGACAGAACTTGTTAGTTTATTCACAGATTTAAATGAAAGCTGAATACTACAGGGTAAAATTAAGAGCTTTTATCTTTCCACAGATTCAGACTGTAGTTGAAGTTGCACTGCCAGTGGTATTTTGTGTCCTCCTGGTTATTATTAGAGACCTGGCCCCCTACGGTGACTTCCCAGAGCCTACTTATTACAAACCATTTAACATCTCTGGGTTGCCAGAAAATTTAACGTAAGTCACTATTTTATTCAATAATTATTGGGACTTTGACTAGAAATCAAACCCTGAAGTTAACAGAGTAATTGGTGGAAGCTGGCAGCCAGTTATGATAATTGTAGTGGGTGGAGATAAGATTGTTTTGCCATGATTGTAACAATAATAGACGATTCTGTAACCTGTTGGCTTTGTCCATTGTTTCCAAATCAAATGACCCAGTGGATTTTATCTTGTATTGCCAAAGTCTGGTATATCAGGGTCGGGTAAATACAGTGATACCTCGGGATACGAACAGCACAAAACTCAAAAGATCATGTAAGTGTATTTATGTAAGTGCTTTTGTAAGTATTTTTGGTGGGTCTGACACGAATTAATCTAATTTACATTATTCCTTATGGGAACAAATTCGTTCGGTATCAGCACTCGAACAGCCTTCTGGAACGAAATAAATTCGTATCCTGAGGTACTACTGTACAGGGTTTGCTGCTCTGACATTATTGATATATATTAACATCTTCACTAACAATGATGATCTGATACAAAATGTCACCACATCAAAAACAATATACTCAGATCACAACATAATCGAGGTTCAGACATGTATGCACGGAGCCCCAGACCAACAAAATGAGATCAGCCACGAGGGAGCCTTCACCAAATTCAACTTCAGTAACAAGGACATAAAGTGGGACCAAGTAAACCAAGTCCTAAACTATATAAGCTGGGAAGATAGACTAAGCAACACAGACCCCAACTTATGCCTAGAACAGATTAACTCTGTGGCACTCGATGTATGCTCAAGGCATATTCCTTTAAGAAAATGGAGGAGTAGATGTAAAATAGAAAGAGACAGGCGCTCCCTTTACAGGCGACGGAAAAGAATAACACAGCGGCTAAAAGAGGCCAATACGTATATCTGAAATGTGTAGGGAGACGCTGGTCAGAGAAATAGCAAACATCAAATTTAAGCATAAGGAATCTTATAGGCATCGGGAATCACGGAAAGAACTAAAAGCCATAAATGAAATCGAAAGAAACCCAAAGTATTTCTTTTCTTATGCCAAATCAAAGCCGAGAACAACATCCAGTGTTGGGCCCCTACTTAAACAAGATGGGTCCTACACAGATGACAGCAAGGAAATGAGTGAGCTACTCAAGTCCCAATATGACTCAGTCTTTAGCAAGCTGCTAACCAGACTGAGAGTCGAAGATTTAAATTAATTTTTTATAAGAGAGCCACAGAATTTGGTAAACACAAGCCTATCTGATGTTATCCTGACGCCAAATGACTTCGAGCAGGTGATAAATGACATTCCCATGCACTCTGCCCCAGGGCCAGACTCATGGAACTCCATGCTCATCAAGAACTGCAAGAAGCCCCTATCACATGCTTTTAACATCCTATGGAGAGAGAGCATGGACACTGGGGTCGTCCCACAGTTACTAAAAACAACAGACATAGCCCCACTCCACAAAGGGGGCAGTAAAGCAATAGCAAAGAACTACAGACTGATAGCACTAACATCCCATATCATAAAAATCTTTGTAGATAAATGGTTCAGAGAACCTCATTCTCCTCCTGTTCTTCAAGATTCTCCTTTGTATGGACTGATGAAGCCACTGTGTGGCAAAACGTTTCCTCAATAAAGATACCCAAGAGTTGCACATGTGTCTAATTTATCATAAAAATCTTTGAAAGGGTCCTAAGAAGCAAGATTACCACCCATCTAGATACTCGTCAGTTACACAACCCAGGGCAACGTGGGTTTAGAGTAGGTCGCTCCTGTCTGTCCCAACTACTGGATCACTATGACAAGGTCCTAGATGCACTAGAAGACAAAAAGAATACAGATGTAATATACACAGACTTTGCAAAAGCCTTGACAAGTGTGACCATGGTATAAAAGCACACAAAATGCGTGCTAAAGGAATAACAGGAAAAGTTGGTAGATGGATCTATAATTTCCTCACAAATAGAACACAAAGAGTAGTAGTCAACAGAGTAAAGTCTGAGGCAGCTATGGTGAAAAGGTCTGTTCCACAAGGCACAGTACTCGCTCACCATCTTGTTCCTCATCCTCATATCTGACATAGACAAGGATGTAAGCCACAGCACCGTGTCTTCCTTTGCAGATGACACCCAAATCTGCATGACAGTGTCTTCCCTTGCAGACACTGCAGGGCTCCAGGTGGACATCAACCAAATCTTTCAATGGGCTGCAGAAATCTATATAAAGTTCAATGATGAGAGATTTAAATTACTCTGATACGGTAAACATGAGGAAATTAAAACTTCATCAGAGTATAAAACAAATTCCAGCCACACAATAGAGCGAAAAACTAACATCAAAGACCTGGGAGTGATCATGTCAGAGCATCTCACTTTCAAGAACCATAACATTGTATCAATCATATCTGCTAAAAAATGACAGGATGGATAATGAGAACCTTCAAAACTAGGGATGTCAAGCCCATGATGACACTCTTCAGGTCGCTTGTTCTATCTAGGCTGGAATATTGCTGTACACTAATAGCACCTTTCAAGGCAGGTGAAATTGCTGACCTAGAAAATGTACAGAGAACCTTCACGGCGTGCATAACGGAGATAACACACCTCAATTACTAGGAGCGCTTGAAGTTCCTGAACCTGTATTCCCTGGAACACAGGCAGGAGAGATACATGATTATATACACCTGGAAAATCCTAGAGGGACTAGTACCAAACTTGCACACGAAAATCACTCTCTATTAAAGCAAAAGACTCGGCAGACGATGCAACATCCCCCAATGAAAAGCAGGGGTGTCACTAGCACGTTAAGAGACAAAACAATAAGTGTCAGGGGTCCAAGACTGTTCAGCTGCCTCCCAGCATACATAAGGGGGATTACCAATAGACCCCTGGCTGCCTTCAAGCAGGCACTGGACAAGCACCTAAAGTCGGTACCTGACCAGCCGGGCTGTGGCTAGTACGTTGAATTGTGTGCAGCCAGCAGTAACAGCCTAGTTGATCAGGCCCTGATCCACCATGAGGCCTGGTCACAGACTGGGCCACAGGGGCGTTGACCCCCGGAACTCTCTCCAGGTAAACTCCAGGTTTTGTCAGGAAGATTTAAATAGAGAATCTAAAGTGAATTTAAAGGATAATTACTTAAACATTTTAAATGTAATTAATAAAATATTTTTTATTTTTCTAGATTACTATAAATGTTCACATGATTGTTCCAGGTAACAATTGTCAGGTGCAGCAATTGCTAGGTGCAGTACAGTACCTGCCAGGTGCAGTACTTGCTGGTACAACAGTTGTCAGGTGCAGCAGTTGCTAGGTGCAGTACAGTACCTGCCAGGTGCAAACTTGCTGGTGCAGCAGTTATGAAGTGCAGCAATTGCTAGGTGCAGCATTTGCGAGGTGCAGTACCTGCAAGGTTCAGCACTTGACAGGTGCAGCCCTTGACAGGTGCAGCACTTGACAGGTGCTGCACTTGACAGGTGCAGTACTCTAGCTGAACATCTGTTTTGATTTTATTGACATCTTAGTGTTTCACATTTTCATTACTTATTTTTTTCAGGCCAAATGATGGTGGTGGGTTTTTTGATGGCTTAGCAGAGCAAATATTTGGTGATTCATTAGAGCGTCGTAGAAGGTCATTACCTGTCTTGAACCAAAGTGATCTGCCTTACCAGTCGGTACTTCATAAACCCTCTTTATCAAGTCATCCTCAGTACAGAACATATTTAGAAAAATTAAAAAAATCTAAATACAGAAGAAAAAGGTTCTTAGATTTTTTTGATTTTTGGGGTAAGTTAGTTTTATGATACTGTTAATAAATTATTAGTTGTATACCCTGTATATATATTTTTGTTATATTGTTACTGTAACACTGAAATTGCCTATACAGTATCTCTAATCATTTTTGTTCCTTTTTAGGCTCAGATACTTTTTGGCCACTAGCATTTTCCCCAAACACAACAGCTGTACAAAAATTGATGTCCATAGTAGCCAGTAGACTGAATGTTGATGAAAGAGGTGAGTCTTTAAAAGAGCATATTAATTAACAGATTTTTACTTACCTGTAAGTAGCTTTGAAGATTCCTGTACCCATACAGTCCAGGCTCAGGCTTCCTTGTTGATTGCTTGTTCATTCAGGCTATTAGTGCTAGTAGCCTGTAAGCTCACCTAGCCTACCTGTAAGCCCATGCTGAAAGTGCCTGGCTAATCAGGTGCTTTCAGCATGCATTGATCTAGTTTTTTGTTGAAACCTACCTGTGTTTCTTAAATCTGCTGGTTGAGCTCTGTCAGCTGATGTTGACAGTGATCTCTAATTGTGCTTAAGGCATCCCCACTTAAGGCATCCATATTGCTCTCACTCCAGAAGGTTGTTATTTTAATGTACAGGTATAATAATAATAATAATCATAATAATAATCTTCATTTCTACAAGTACATGATACAACTTATACAGACCATAGCTGACATCAGTGACACACTACATAGAAACCCCTGGTTATGCATAGCATTTCCTGCAAATTAGGTCAATTTTGTCCCCCAAGATGGGTAATGAGAACCTTCAAAACTAGGGATGCCAAGCCCATGATGACACTCTTCAGGTCGCTTGTTCTATCTAGGCTGGAATATTGCTGCACACTAACAGCACCTTTCAAGGCAGGTGAAATTGCTGACCTAGAAAATGTACAGAGAACCTTCGTGGCATGCATAACTGAGATAAAACACCTCAATTACTGGGAACACTTGAAGTACCTGATCCTGTACTCCCTGGAATGCAGGCGGGAGAGATACATGATTATATACACCTGGAAACCTAGGTAGTAGGTTGGTAGACAGCAACCGCCCATGGAGGTACTACCGTCCTGCCAAGTGAGTGTAACACGAAAGCCTGTAATTGTTTTACATGATGGTAGGATTGCTGGTGTCCTTTTTTCTGTCTCATGAACATGCAAAATTTCAGGTACGTCTTGCTACTTCTACTTACACTCAGGTCACACTACACATACATGTACAAGCGTATATATACATACCCCTCTGGGTTTTCTTCGATTTTCTTTCTAGTTCTTGTTCTTGTTTATTTCCTCTTATCTCCATGGGGAAGTGGAACAGAATTCTTCCTCCGTAAGCCATGCGTGTTGTAAGAGGCGAGTAAAATGCCGGGAGCAAGGGGCTAGTAACCCCTTCTCCTGTATATATTACTAAATTTGAAAGGAGAAACTTTGGTTTTTTCTTTTGGGGCACCCTGCCTCGGTGGGATACGGCCGGTGTGTTGAAAGAAAGAAAGATACACCTGGAAAATCCTAGAGGGACTAGTACCAAACTTGCACACGAAAATCACTCCTTATGAAAGCAAAAGACTCGGCAGATGATGCAATATCCCCCCAATGAAAAGCAGGGGTGGCACTAGCACGTTAAGAGACAACACAGTAAGTGTCAGGGGCCCCCAAGACTGTTCAGCTGCCTCCCAGCATACATAAGGGGGATTACCAATAGACCCCTGGCTGTCTTCAAGCAGGCACTGGACAAGTACCTAAAGTTGGTACCTGACCAGCCGGGCTGTGGTTTGTACATTGGATTGCGTGCAGCCAGCAGTAACAGCCTAGTTGATCAGGCCCTGATCCACCATGAGGCCTGGTCACAGACCGGGCCGCAGGGATGTTGATCCCCGGAACTCTCTCCAGGTAACTCCAGGTAAACTCCAGGCAAGATGCAACCCACACCAGTTAACTAACTTCCAGGTATTTAGTTTACTTCTAGGGGAACATGGGCAGCAGGTGTCTTAAGGAAACACTTCCTAATGTTTCCATCTCTACCGAGGATTGAACCATAGACCTCAGTGTGTGAGCTGAGTGTGCTTGCAATTGAGCTACAGGTCATGTTCAAGAGAGCATATATCAAGTGTTTTCAAGTATAATAGTGATAATTAATAATTTGGGATTTTATAATTCTTGAGAGTTTGTTCTTTCAGAAACTCACAAGTGCTCACACTTCAAACCATAAATACAACAGCTACAATAAAGAATACTTAAGTTAATATTCAAGAGTGATAGATTGGTTATCAGGATTATAATCTCTAGGAAAGAGTTGTTCTTTCAACTGAAACTTCAAAGCATGAACTGGCTTCTGACTCTTAACAGGCACTGGGAACCTTGTTATATATAGTATTTTGTAGTTTATCAATCAATCAATTTATATCCACATGATACATCATTTGAGTAAAATTGGATGACACTACATCTCTTACATAGAAAGCCCCTTAGTTTTGCAGAGCTTTTCAGGCAAGCTTAAACCTAACTTAAGTCTTAAAGATCTAGTATTTTACACATACAGGCATACCTCGCTAATACAGCGGATTAGGTTCCAGACCAGCAGTAAGTAGTACTGCTTAAGGTACATAGTAACATATCTTAGAGAGGATGCCTTCTGATTTGGAGACCTTTATTATGTGCTGGATTGTGTTATTGAATTTCAAACTATTGTCAAGGTACAGACCTAAGAATTTTCTCTTGGTTCGTCTTAAAATGGGAGAACTTTTTATCATTATACAGTGGAACCTCAAATTTCGAACGTATCACTTATCGAACGTTTGAAAAATAGAACCCTTTTTTCAAACCAACTTTGTCCCTATTATCGAACGCGCCCCTATTTTCAGACCGCCGGGTACCGGACCTGTCCGCCAACCCACTCTGTCTGCATCCCGGCGCAGTGAGCCAGTTTGGCTTTGTTGATGCTTGAGTGAACACTAACCTGCACTCTCATTCAAATATTTAACAATTACTTCATTGTGTTTAGTGCTTGTGGGACTGTGAAATAAGCTTCCATGGGCCCAAAGAAACTTGCTAGTGGTACCCCTGTGGTAAAGAAAGTGAGAAACACCGTAGATGTGAAGAAGGAAATAATACAGAAGTATGAGAGTGGTGTGAGACTTGCTGAGCTTGCCAGGATGTATGGGAAAAAACAAGTCGACCATCGGTTCTATCCTGGCAAAGAAAGAACAAATCAAGGAAGCTGATGTTGCGAAAGGTGTTAATATGCTAACCAAAAAAAGACCACAAATAGTCGAAGAGGTTGAGAAGTTGTTGCTGGTGTGGATCAAGGATAAAGAGATGGCAGGTGATAATGTTTCAGACACGATTATTTGCGAGAAGGCAAGGAAGTTGCATAACGATCTGGTACAGAAAACTCCTGGAACCAGTTCAGTGACAGAACCATGTCCCATTTTAAGGAAATGTTAAAGAGGCGCCAGAAACAGGACTGTGGAGAGTTATTTTATGAGACAGGGGTCCAGTGACTCTCAAGCTGGTCCTAGTGGCATTAAAAGACAGAGAAGGGAAGTAACCCCAGAGAGGGCTTTACCTGAAGTCCTCATAGAGGGGGATTCTCCTTTCAAACACTAACCCCAACTCCCTCTCTCCTCCCCGCTATCTTCCAGATGCCATCACCAATCTTCAATAAAGGCAAGTAAAAATGTTATTTTATATTTATATACATAATTGAACACTATATTTGTTGTGTGTATGTAAAACTGTAATTAATCTCTATAAAATGTATTTTTTTTGTGAACATTTTTGGGTTTCTGGAATGGATTAATCATATTTCCATTATTTCTTATGGGGAAATATTGCTTCGATTTTCAGACTTTTCGAATTTAGAACTAGCTCCTGGAACGGATTAAGTTCAATATTTGAGGTTCCACTGTATTTAGTTGGACATTTGCAGCTGTTCCAGACATCATGTAGCAGGGCTTATGTCATCAATAAGTGGGTTAAATTAAAGCTACTTCATATTACACTACTGACAATTCCTTACAGCTAAAACATTAATGTAGATTCAAATGCTCTTGATAGTGGAGTGCACCTTGTCTGCAAAGAACCCTTTGTCATTACTTAGAGCTGTCACACAGTTATACTAAGTACAGTATACCAACTGTAATTACTACAGTCATTATAATAAGTACAGTATACCAACTGTAGTTACTACAGTCATTATGCTAAGTATGGTATACTAACTGTAGTTACTACAGTCATTATACAAAGTACAGTATATCAGCTGTAGTTACTACGGTCATTATACTTTGTACAGTATACCAACTGTAGTTATTACAGTCATTATACTAAGTACAGTATACCAACTGTAGTTACTACAGTCATTATACTAGGTATGGTATACTAACTAGTTACTACAGTCTTTACACTAATACAGTATATCAACTGTAGTTACTACAGTCCTTATACTAATACAGTATACCAACTGTAGTTACTACAACCATTACACTAGGTATGGTATACTAACTAGTTATTACAGCCCTTATACTAATACAGTATATCAACTGTAGTTAATGCAAATATTATATTTATTAAGGTATCTTTTATGTAAAACAGTTTTAAACAAACCTTGACTAACACTTTATCTCAGGATATGGATTCACAAGTGAGGAAGAACTGGTGAAGCGCCTCACAAGATTCTATAAGAATGAAGATGAGGATGTTGTTGAGGACATCCTGGGAGGTGTTGTCTTCACCAACCCCTTACCTGCTGATGATCAGCTTCCAGAAAATATAGAAGTGAGTTATTGCAGTACCATTATCATCTATTTTTTTGGCAGTGAAATCCTTACTTGACATTTCTTACATGATTTTATTTTTCTGCATGTATAAATGGGGTGCAGGTATACAAATTTGTATATTTATTTATGTGCTTAGGTGCATATGTGGATGTACATATGTACAGTGGTACCTCGAGTTACGAACTTAATTCATTCCAGAAGGCTGTTCGAGTTCAGATATCGAACGAATTTGTTCCCACAAGGAATAATGTAAATTAGATTAGTCTGTTTCAGACCCCCAAAAATACACTTAAAAAAGTACTTACAAAAATACACTTACATAATTGTTCGAGTTGGGAGCTGTTCGAAACTCAAGGTACCACTGTACATGTATATAAAAATACCAAAGTGAAAATAGAAAAAAAAACACCTGAGCACTTTTGTGTGCTTAGACACACACATCATCCTATGAAGATATGTATGTAAGCACATGAGAGTGATCAAGTGTTTTTTCTGTTTTCATGTAGTATTTTTACATATTTGAAATTACATGTTTTATTGTAATTTTTCCATGCACGTGCATATATAATTTTATGTACCGGTTATTTTCATATAGTCGGACTTGAGTCCTGGAAATGGGAAGTACAATGCCTGCACTTTAAGGAGGGGTTTGGGATATTGGCAGTTTGGAGGGATATGTTGTATATCTTTATACGTATATGCTTCTAAACTGTTGTATTCTGAGCACCTCTGCAAAAGCAGTGATAATGTGTGAGTGTGGTGAAAGTGTTGAATGATGATGAAAGTATTTTCTTTTTGGGGATTTTCTTTCTTTTTTGGGTCACCCTGCCTCGGTGGGAGACGATCGACTTGTTGAAAAAAAAAAAATGTATTTTATCCTAGGTAGTAGGTTGGTAGACAGCAACCGCCCAGGGAGGTACTACCATCCTGCCCTTTTGAGTGTAAAGCGATAGCCTGTAATTGTTTTACATGATGGTAGGATTGCTGGTGTCTTTTTATTCTGTCTCATACACTTGCAAGATTTCAGGTACATCTTGCTACTTCTACTTACACTTAGGTCACACTTCACATACATGTACAAGCATATATACATGCACCCCTCTGGGTTTTCTTCTATTTTCTTTCTAGTTCTTGTTCTTGTTTATTTCCTCTTACCTCCATGGGGAAGCGGAACAGAATTCTTTCTCCGTAAGCCATGCGTGTTATAAGAGGTGACTAAAATGCCAGGAGCAAGGGGCTAGTAACCCCTTCTCCTGTATGTATTACTAAATGTTAAAGGAGAAACTTTTGTTTTTCCTTTTGGGCCACTCTGCCTTGGTGGGATACGGCCTGTGTGTTGAAAGAAGAAAGATGTATTTTACATACTACATAGGTTTACGTATGTGTATAATTGTGGGCAAGTCTTTGTGTACATGTGTACTTTTTTAACAAACTGGCTAAATCCCAGAAACAAACAAACAAACAACAAACAAATTTTATTTCTTTGCAAAGGTTACAGTATGTGATTACATTTTATAAACAAAGAAAGCCACTAACATGCTGAGGCATTTCAGGCAGAATAATGTTTACACACTACTTAAAACTAGACAGGTTAAAGAGTGGTAAATTTTAATTATTCATTATTTTACCTTATTGCTATAGTGAAGTAGCTAAAAAGTTTTATAATAAGATTTATAGTAGTGATGTAGCATATAACAAATAACAGTATTGCAATTTGCAATGATACAACAGCACAATTTTAAGTATATATTAATGTTTTAATTGATTAAGTGGTTGTAAATTTTGGGGGATTTTTTGAGTCGTTTCAAACTGGTTTAATGATTTAGCATAGTGGTGATATGGTTAATTTTGGGAGATGAGATGATTTTTAATTTTATCCCTAAATTGATTTGAAGGCAGGGGACCTTTTGCTGGTTCAGGCAATGAATTCCAGATCTTAGGCCCTTTATGTGCATTGCACTTTTGCATAGAACGAGACAGACACGATGGATGTTGAAAAATGTTTTGTACCTTGTGTTATGCCTGTGTGAGTTATGTTGTAGCTATCAAGGAGAAGTTTAAGAGGAGGGTTTATATTGGTGTTTAATGTTCTGTATATATAGTAGGCACAATGATATGAGTGTATATTTTCTATATTAAGTAAGTTAAAGCTCTTGAAGATTGGTGGGGTATGTTGTCTGGCTTAGGAGTTGGTGATCATCCACACAGTAGCTTCTTGTTGGGTTATTAAAGGTTTAAGGTGATTGGCCGTGGTCAATCCCCAAGCACAAATACTAAAAGTGAGGTAAGGGTAGATTAGAGTGGTAAGCAGTGCTAAGTAGTCCTGTGTGGGGTACATAATACCGTATCTTGGATATCTTTATTGGATATATGTTGGATGTGGGTCTGAAATTTAAGATTACAGTCAAGGTGAAGACCTCAGTGTGTCTTGTGATGGGAGAACCATTAATTGATATGTTGAGCTGGATATTTAAAGCTCTTTTTTCAGACAACATGAATTAGGTTTTGACTGTATTGAGAGAGAGCCTGTTGGTCATCATCCATGCAGATATTTTTAGCAGCGCATTGTTAACCCTTTCAGGGTTTCGGCTGTACTAGTACGGCTTACGCCCCAGGGTTTTTGATGTACTAGTACGTCTAAGTTCTAGCGCCCTCAAATCTAGTGAGAGAAAGAATGGGTCTACGTGGTCAGTGTGCACAGTATAAAAAATCCTGCAGCACACAGTGTGTAATGAGAAAAAAAAAACTTTGTGTTTTTGGATTAAAACAGCAACTTTGCACTGTATTTTTGTATGGTACAGTGGACCCCCGCATAGCGACCTTAATCCGTGCAAGAGGGCTGGCTGTTATGCGAAATGTTCGCTATGTGAATGAATTTTCCCCATAAGAAATAATGGAAATCAAATTAATCCGTGCAAGACACCCAAAAGTTTGAAAAAAAAATTTTTACCACATGAAATATACATTTTCCTACACACAAAGAGAAGGATACATGCACAATAGTAGAGTAGTACATGCACAATATATATTGTGCATGTACTACTCTACTAAATGAAGAATAAATGACACTTACCTTTATTGAAGATGCAGCAATGACTGATGAGACACTGTGTCCTGGGAGTGCCTTTTCCTCCTGAGTACTGTAGGTCCTGTTTGGTATTTTCTTCCAGAACAGGCCTTATCACACTGTGTATGTCACTACGATTCTTAAATCTCTCAAACCAACCTTTGCTGGCTCTAAATTCACCAATATGAGCACTAGTTCCAGGCATTTTCCCTGTTCACCTGGGTGTTAGTCGACTGGTGTGGGTTGCATCCTGGGAGACAAGATTAAGGACCCCAATGGAAATAAGTTAGACAGTCTTCGATGACACTGACTTTTTTGGGCTATCCTGGGTGGCAAATCCTCTGGGGTTAATTGTTTCTTGGTATTCTCAATAAGCCACACCAAACAACGGTGCTACAGCAGCAGCAGCAGCAGCTGACGATGTTACAGCAGCAGCAGACGATGCTACAGCAGCAGCAGCAGCAGCAGCAGACGATGCTACAGCAGCAACAGACGATGCTACAGCAGCAGCAGACGATGCTACAGCAGCAACTGACGATGTTACAGCAGCAGCAGACGATGCTACAGCAGCAGCAGCAGCTGACGGTGGTACAGCAGCAACAGACGATGCTACAGCAGCAACAGACGATGCTACAGCAGCAGCAGACGATGCTTACAGCAGCAGCAGATGATGCTACAGCAGCAGCAGACGGTACTACAGCAGCAGGAGCAGCTGACGGTGGTACAGCAGCAGCAGCTGACAGTGCAGCAGCAGCTGATGGTGATACAGCAGCAGCAGCAGCTGTACCACCAATAGTAGCGATGGTTGATTGGGGTTTATTATACAACCTGGCCAGCTCGGAGACACGCACTCCACTTTCATACTTATCAATGATCTTTTTCTTCATCTCCATAGTAATTCTCACCCTTATTGCTGTAGGGTTGGCACTAGAAGCTTTCTTGGGGCCCATGGTCACTTATTTTTCCAGAAAAAATCACCAAAAAACACTGTAATAATACAAAATGTTCCGATTGTATGCTTGGATGTTACCGCGGAGGCTGGCTGGTAAAACAATGCCACCCGCGGAACATGTGAGCGTGGCTCAGGCCGCACATTGGACGCGTCTCGGACGAAGGCCGCTGAGCGGGTTTTTGGGCGCTATGCGGGGCAAAATTTTAGCGATCAAAGCGTCCGCTATGCGGATTGTCCGCTATGCAAGGCGTCCGTTATGCGGGGGTCCACTGTATTTATTGTTGTATTCTAGTTTTCCAGGTCTCATTTTATAGAATGGAAGACATATTACAGAAATTGAGATGATTTTGACTGGTTTTACAATGAAAAGTACCTTGAAATTGAGCTCAAAGTATCAGAAATGTTTGATTTTTACCAAAGTTCAAAAGTAAACAAATCATACCAAGCGTCCAATACACGTCAACTGGTGAGTCTGATATTCTGTCACAAGTGCACTGATATTATTTATACCATTTCTACACTAATGCAGTAGTTTGCATAACAGTAAATCTTCTATTTTTTGTAAGAATAAAAATTCAAAGTGGAAAGCCAAAAAAATATAAGAGGGGCCTGGGGATGTGACTAACGAACAAAGAACTTGTTATTTTAGTGCCAGGAATGTCTTTCTTGTTTATTCTGGACTCTTTTTTGGAAATTGGCATCTTTTGAAATTTGTGTGAAATTGGCAAAATTGCTAAATTCTAACCACTTTATTGGATAGTTGAAATCGGTAAATGGGTGGTTTCTTGTACTCATTCGATAGAAAAAATGGAGTTCTAGCAAAATAGTTATCATTTTTGTCGACTAGCACACTGGAATTGGCCGAAAATAGGGCTCAAAGTGGGCAAAATCGCTGATGCGTAAACATCATCGAGACCGCTAACTTTGCGAGAACATTATTCCGTAAGTTTTTCATCAAATTTCATACTTTTGGTGTCATTATGATCGGGAAAAGATTCTCTATCTTTTCATAGAAAAAATAATTTTTTTTTTTTTAAATTTGGGGGACCCTGAGAACAAGTCTCTGAGAGGGCCTGTGGACCCTGAAAGGGTTAACAGTGTCTCTAGGCATAGTCAGGTTTGAGTGAGAGAGGACATAAGTAGTGCCATCTGTTTAAAGAAATGAGATGCATTGGGAGATCATTGGTGTAAATGGGAAAGAGCACAGGGCCAGGGACACTACCTTAGGGCACTCCTATGGCTATAGGCTAAGTAGACGAGGTTACACTGTTTATATAGACATACTGGTGTCTGTTGCTAAGAAAAGAGTTTAGGTATGCAAGAGTATGTCCTCTGACTCCAAAAATGTTTTAGTTTAAGATGCAAAAGATTGTAGTCCACTGTATCGAATGCTTTCCACAGGTCTATGAAGAATCCCAGAGGATATTCATATTTTCAAGTGCTGCATTTAGCAGTTCGAGCATTCGAAGATTTTAGATAGCAGGGCAAGTTTAATATAGGCCTATAGTTATTCGCTTCAGTTGGATCACCATTTTTGAGGATCAGGGTAACCCTTGCTGTCTTGAGTATGGATGGGAAGGTTAAAGATTCCACTGATAGAGTTGCAATAATGGGCAACAACACATGAGCTAATTTTTTTGTTCATGAGAGATGGCAAATTATTTAGGTGTCCTGTCTTGTTTTTTAGTGATTTTATGATGAACCAGACTTCAGTAGGATTAGTTGGAGCTAAATACAGAGTATTGGATAATTTCCAGGAAGGTAGTCTTTTGCCTGAGTATTTGAAGTTGGAATTTTGCTTGCTAATTCTGATCCTATATTGTTATTTTATTTTTTATTATCACACTGGCCAATTCCCACCAAGGCAGGGTGGCCCGAAAAAGAAAAACTTTCACCATCATTCACTCCATCACTGTCTTGCCAGAAGGGTGCTTCACACTACAGTTTTTAAACTGCAACATTAACACCCCTCCTTCAGAGTGCAGGCACTGTACTTCCCATCTCCAGGACTCAAGTCCGGCCTGCCGGTTTCCCTGAACCCCTTCATAAATGTTACTTTGCTCACACTCCAACAGCACGTCAAGTATTAAAAACCATTTGTCTCCATTCACTCCTGTCAAACACGCTCACGCATGCCTGCTGGAAGTCCAAGCCCCTCGCACACAAAACCTCCTTTACCCCCCTCCTCCAACCTTTCCTAGGCTGACCCCTACCCCTCCTTCCTTCCACTACAGACTGATACACTCTTGAAGTCATTCTGTTTCGCTCCATTCTCTCTACATGTCCAAACCACCTCAACAACCCTTCTCAGCCCTCTGGACAACAGTTTTGGTAATCCCGCACCTCCTCCTAACTTCCAAACTACGAATTCTCTGCATTATATTCACACCACACATTGCCCTCAGACATGACATCTCCACTGCCTCCAGCCTTCTCCTCTCTGCAACATTCATCACCCATGCTTCACACCCATATAAGAGCGTTGGTAAAAACTATACTCTCATACATTTCCCTCTTTGCCTCCAAGGACAAAGTTCTTTGTCTCCACAGACTACTAAGTGCACCACTCACCCTTTTCCCCTCATCAATTCTATGATTCACCTCATCTTTCATAGACCCATCTGCTGACACGTCCATTCCCAAATATCTGAATACATTCACCTCCTCCATACCCTCTCCCTCCAATCTGATATCCAATCTTTCATCACCTAATCTTTTTGTTATCCTCATAACCTTACTCTTTCCTGTATTCACTTTTAATTTTCTTCTTTTGCATACCCTACCAAATTCATCCACCAATCTCTGCAACTTCTCTTCAGAATCTCCAAAGAGCACAGTGTCATCAGCAAAGAGCAACTGTGACAACTCCCACTTTATGTGTGATTCTTTATCTTTTAACTCCAAGCCTCTTGCCAAGACCCTCGCATTTACTTCTCTTACAACCCCATCTATAAATATATTAAACAACCACGGTGACATCACACATCCTTGTCTAAGGCCTACTTTC